GAAAAGTCAATTATTCATATATTTTGTGAATAAAATCTACTTACCCTGTTGCTGTGTTGTATTCTGTGTTATTTGCCAGCTCCTCAGGCCGATCTAACTCGATTTCGACGAGTTCTTATTCTGTGGTTTTTCACTAAAAGAAAGACAAGATCAATTCAAACCGTTGTAACACAACACCTCCATATGCTGCATGGCAAGAGTCACGTTTCGCGTAGTCAAATTCGGACGTTATGTAATAGTATATGCCATATATGTCATAATCTTGTCACGTTTCGCTGAACGTTCGCATGAGAAAAAAAAGATAACTCCTCGCATTGTGATCTTGGGCCGCCTTTGTTGTGGTAGGACTTGAGTTTCATACGGAACCACACCAAAGCCCCAACAGTGGTGTTAACAGCCAAACATTCAGCCAGTGGTGGAAATACAGCCGCAGAGTGTAACGGAATCGTCAGCTGGATAGAGGTAATCCTAAAAGCCAACAGTGCTTTTATTTCTCCCAGAGAACATACAATCAAAACGTAAAGAACTTATTTCAGAATAAGGTCTTATTATCTAACCTTCCTTTTCTTATGTTTTTGTCTCTTTTTCTAAGTTTATCGTCAAATCCGGATTTCGAATTTGTGTCAAAGAACTGTTTGTTAAACGCTTTGATCCACTAACTGTGTCATATGCAGTACTGTCAGGTAGGCAAGAATTGCCCAGCATTAATAAATTTGTATAAATATCACGCTCGGAAAGCATACATACAGTGATGCCCCTCGCCCCAAGTGGAATAATATGTTGCAATTTTACAAAAGGAGCAATTAAAAGTAGACCAAACTGAAGATGTGGCTCTACAGAAGTTTTGCCATTTCACTTAAGGACAACCTTAATTTTTAAAGCTGTAACGACTAAGTGGCATAGAATCGTTAAAACAGTGGACGTGAGATCCGAGTTTCTTCACTAACTTATTGCTTGAAGCATCCTTATTTAATGGTGGTGAGGTACAATGACACATGTGACACATTGACATACAATCTCGATGAATAGCGACACACCTAGCACCCTCCATGCTACTGAATCCACAGTTCGGTTGCGCTGAGACAGCTGGTCTTTAACATAATTTCCTTACGCTTTAATCACAGATGTTTGTCAGGATGACTGGACCTATTTCAATGGATATTGTTACAGGAAAGTATCTTCCTGTGATTCGTGGAGTGGTGGCCAAGGGACATGCGCTGCACTGGGAGCGAATCTCCCAAGTATCCACAGTCAAGAAGAAAACGTGTATGTTCAGAGTCTAAACGGCGGAGAACACTCTTGGTTGGGCCTGTCTGATATCAACACTGAAGGGACATTTGTGTGGAGTGATGGAACACCTTTTGACTTTCATTACTGGGCGAAACACCAGCCAAACAACTTTCACAATGAAGACTGTGTTCACACTCTTGGGTTCCTTCAAGGCCACAAGTATAAATGGAACGATGTAAATTGCACAGACTGCCACGGATTTACCTGCAAGAAAGGTAGAATTTTGTCCAGGTTTTACTGATTTCTACGCTTGGGCAATCTCATACTATGCGTAAAACTGCAACGATAATGTTTGTATAGCTACGATTGACTGCTGAAGCGACTCATGAAGTTTTTTCTCATGCTCGGCGTGCGTAGATCGAGTTATGGACGCACGCGAGAAGTTTGGAGAGTACGAGAGATGCGTATTGAACCTTCGGGTACTATACTTGCGAGTATACGGGCGCATTTTCCATCGCGCAAAGACTATCGCTCAAACTCTTATCGCCTCCATCAATAGCACAGCAGGGCACGAGAGGTAAGGGAGAAGGAAAATTCGGGCTAGAGTGCGCAGCACTAGGAAACGCAATCGCTTGATCACGTTTCGCGCTCTCCATTCCATTTTTATGCTTGCCCAAATTGCCTTGTCTCTATTTTGGCTAAGCCGGCCTGCTTAGCCAAAATAGGGAGAAAGGTAATTTGGGCATAAGCATAAAAATAGGAGAAAAATGACTTCTTTATAGGATCAGTTCTATCCTATAAAGGTTTCTTACCTTTACTACTGTGTCTCCGTCTGTCTTTATGTCTGTCTCCTTGTCTGTCTGTCTGTCTGTCTGTCTGCCTGTCTGTCTCTCCGTCTGTCTGCCTGTCTGTCTGTTTGCCGGTTTGTCTGTCTGTCTCCCTGTCTGTCTGTCTGTCTGTCAGCCTGTGTCTGTCTGTCTGTCCGTCTGTCTGTCCGTCTGTCTGTCCGTCTGTCTGCCTGTCAGGCTGTCTGTCTCTCTGTCTGCGTCCCTGTCTGTCTGTCTGTGTCCCTGTCTGTCTGTCTGTGTCCCTGTCTGTCTGTCTGTCTGACCCACACTACTTTCCGGACGTGGTTCTTCAGAGATTTGCAAGGCGTGTTAAAACGTTTTCCAATTTAACGATAAAATCACTATTATTTTAAACTTGAACAAAACCAATCAAAGGCAATACTAAGATTTATTAAGACCCACGAAAAACATTCCTTTATACAGATTATAATGAATGCGGTGATTTCTCGTACAACTGTCCAGTGAACGCTACCTGTGTAAACAGTGATGGCTCTTACTCATGTCAATGCCCTGTTGGATACCGCTGGGATGGAGAGAACTGCACAGGTATGTAAAGTGGTCTTAGCGTTATTTTCCTAACATTTATTTTCTTCATTGGAAGGTAAACAAACAAACAAACCAGCAAACATTACAGTCCCACTGGCAGTCGTTATACACTGGCGAGAGGAGTTAGGCGACTTTCCAAAAATAAGACTGCAAAGACTACTAGAGTTACTAGGGAGGACAGTTCTTGTGCAACTTTGATGTTGATTTCTGTAACGAAAATTATGAACTTATTTGGCAGAAGTGGACGAGTGCAATACTTCTGTATCGGTCTGTGACGTAAATGCTACTTGCAAGAATACTCTCGGATCTTATATTTGTTCCTGTAAAGCTGGATTTTCTGGAGATGGGAAAACGTGTGCAGGTAAGAACAGAAAGCGATAGATACCAATACCATATCTCAAACAAGTGAGTCCTCGAGCGAGTGAGTGAAATGGTATGAAAAAACGAGTCAATAATAGAATACCGTAGGCAACATTCTTTTTAGTAATGTAGATAACGTAAATCTTAAATCTTAGCTTCGACTTAATTGCCGAAGCTCAAAAAACATGATCTTCTTTCAGAAGGTTTATTTGATACGCAGAACGTGTGTGCATTGACAAAAGCAGATAGCTTCTAGAAGTTCTAGCTTTCATATGAAGAATAAAATGCTTCAATTAGATGATGCAGTATCTCAGTCTTGGTGCCTTGACCGTGACAGGTTATATAGCCACGAGAGTTAATTTTTTTCGGTTTTGGTCTCTTTTTCAATTTTGTTTTTTTTCTTTGCTGTTATAGGCTAATATTTGCGTCCTTTTTCGTGCAGTTTTAAATGTAAACTGTTTTTTTCACGTCGTGTTATGTAATCGTCTATTGTTTATCACGTAAACTCGTTAAGTCTATTCTTTTGGTTCAAAAATTCCGTTTTATAGCGTTGTAATTTTCTAGTTGTATTCACTCGTTATCAGTTCCGGAGTACCGTGCAGATCTTGTGAGTAATCTCGTTTTTCCCTGTCTATTTTTTGCTGTTTTTTGTATTGTTGTATTTTCGGTTTATTTAAGTTTAAGATCGTATTAATTCTGTATTTGTTATTTTGGTTTTAAGTGAATCGTAAGAATTAAAGACGAATTTCAAAACGTACAGGAGTGTTATTTACATGCGTTCAAAGATCTGGTGGATGCCATGTTGTCCGGAGTTGAAAGTCTAAGGAGACGCCGAGTTCATTCAGAAGATGCCCTCGATGGTGTGCGACTGAAGAATTCGCGTTTAGGGTATTTGTCTAGAGTTACGACGTTGTGCCGTGCCGCCGAAGTTTTTACTGAATGACTCTAAAAATGTTAAATACGAGCCATTAGTTATTTCACATCTACATTTACCTGAAGATATTTTGATGCTCTTCTTAAAGTTGCCGGTATTCACAGAAGTTTTCCTTATTTTGTCATAGACATTGACGAGTGCAATGCTTCTGTCCGAATATGTGACGTCAATGCCAAATGCCAGAATACTCTTGGATCTCATGTTTGTTCCTGTAAAGCTGGGTTCAACGGAGATGGTAAAACCTGCACAGGTGAGGATATGCTGAATGTTTTAGGAGAGAGTATATGTATTTCACAGGACAGGGAATAGAGAATATAAGTAAATACGTATATTCGTATATTCGTATATACGTATATACGTATATACCTATATTCTCTGGACGAACCTAACCAAACCATAGCTACAACGACAACGTCGATTAGACAGAGGAGCGATTGTAATCAGCAGCACATTAGTATTGCGCCTGCTTATTCCATCTCGGTACATTTGGTAGCCGTTGTCACGAAACAACAACGTCAAATTTATTCATTTACTAAACTGAATTTAACAAAGCGTTTAAAGATTAAACTGGAGCTTAGATTCTGGACAGATATAAGCATAGGCTGATACATTGTTGCTGAGAATTTTTATCAATACCATTAGCTAAGTGTCTTGGTCAGATAAAAGGTAGGGTGTCTCTAATATAAAGATACTGCAAAATCTGATTTGGTTAATAGATGCTTTTCATAAATTCGCCATTTCCACATCCCCCATTATATACTTTGTTTGCCCCCCAAAATTTTGCATTAGCATTGTTTTCAGTTTCTCATGGGACGACTGTAATACCCAGGAGAAATGGCAAACAAAGGTTATGCAGAATTTTGGGGGGTAACAGGGTGTGTTATGGGGGATGTAGAAATGGCAAATGGCTGCCAGTTAATATCTTGGAAATTGCACCAGTTTTTGGAAAAAGATTAAAGTTTGGTTAAATGTACTTTTTGAGCTAATCGATATTTCCATGGAAACGATAAACCAAAAATATGAAAATCGGTAAAACATGAATTTTGTACGAACCAGATCTGTTATAGAAAATCTGATGCCAATTTCTGCAATTACGATGTATGGTAAGGGGAACATGCAAGAATAAAAAAAGTCTGTATGTTTGATTTCGAATAAATCGCGAAAACATTTCCAACCATGCTTTTTGTGTAATGAATTAACTGGACTGAAGGAAGGACCCTGTTTTAATGAAATTGCTCCAAAAGACACCAAATTGTGTCTTGAAGTTTTTGTTTTGAAGCCATGAAAGTTTTGATGGTTTGTTCTTTCTTGATCTCGAGAACGAGACTTTTTCTCAACGTCACTTCCATAATAAATTTAGAACAATTTTCGATTTTAAGCGCTTTTTCTAAAATCTTAAAAAACGGCTTGATAGATTATTTTAAAAGGTTACCCTTGTGGGCCTGAAAATGTTGACAATTTTATTCCAAAGTTTCATCAGCATTGATACACTGGAACACTTTTAAATTTGCCAATGAAGTAGGCGCTCAAACCCACGAAAACACTGCGTTACAAAATCCCGATTTAAAAAAATTACCCTAAAATTTTTAAAATAATCTATCGAGCCGTTTTTAAGATTTTTAGAAAAAGCGCTTAAAATCGAAAATTGTCCTAAGTTTATTATGGAAGTGACGTTGAGAAAAAGTCTCGTTGTCGAGATAAAAAAAAAAACCAACAAAACTTTCATGGCTTCAGAACAAAACTTCAAGACACATTTTGGTGTCTTTTGGAACAATTTCATTAAAATCGAGTTCTTCTTTCAGTCCATTTAATTTCATTGAACAAAAAGCATGGTTTGCCGAAATGTTTTCGCGATTTATTCGAAATCAAACATACAGAATTTTTTATTTTTGCATTTTCCCCTTGCCATAGATCGTAATTGCAGACATTGGCATCAGATTTCCTATAACAGATCTAGTTCGTACAAAATTCATGTTTTACCGATTTTCATATTTTTGGTTTATCGTTTCCATGGAAATATCGATTACCTACAAAAACACATTTAATCTTTTTCCTAAAACTGATGTAATTTCCAGGTGACATCGATCAAAGAAAGGGAAGGTTGGTAAAACGCCAACTGAAAATGCTAGGTATGGTCCAGAAAAAACTGTATAGAACTACTTTAAACCAGTTGCATCCTTGTAACCAGGTTTTGTCTTGCGATCATTTGTCATACAGCCGTAAATAAGGACTGTGCTGAACTGTACAAATCTGGAAAACGAAACAGCGGAGTGTATACAATAAACCCTGATGGATTAGGTGCCTTTGATGTTTTCTGTGACCAAACAACAGCCGGGGGAGGGTGGACAGTGTTCCAGAAAAGAATGGACGGCTCGGTTGACTTCTACCGCGTCTGGGC